TGTGTCCCTTTAATTTCACAGAAGAAACTTCACCCTGTGCATAACTTAACCTTGAAGACAAGCCGGGGTGCTCTTAATGAAAATGTGCTTGGTGCTTTATTCTTAGCAATCTTTACGACTGTGATAATTTACCTTGAAACCCAGCACGTGAAATGTAATTTCTAGCACTTGACATGAGTGTTAATGTATCTATTTATGCAGCACTGGTGCATTCACAAACATAGCTTCAATATCTCTCTATTCTCAGTGTAGTTATATATTATTTGGGCTTTTGATTCAAATCTGGTTCAAGCAGAATTAACCGGCAGCACCCAAAGACGCCATAAATGTTCAGTGCTCGTGATCAAAAATCACCCCGACGTGAAATAGGTTTGGCAGAAATCTCATCGTGTGGGACTCTGTGACTCGAGAGCATTTTTAAGGACCTTTTCTGTTTTGAATTTGAATCTGATCACGGAAATAAATGTTTTTATGCACATTTATTAAGAACTAGTCCAATAATTGTGGGCTGGCAAGAAGTGTGGGTCCATTTTGCGAGAGACAAAAAAAACACACTCTGATAAAACATTATGCAAATGTGGACCAGTGACATCAGCATGCACATTGCTGCTTTCTTCTTGTGGACACAGTCAGGTGATATGCAGTGTGTATTAAAAAAAACAACAGCTTTCCAGATTCTTTTTAGAAGCTTTACTAAGCTAAATGCAGGATTCAGACTGTGTCTTCAGTTGTAAATAAATCCTGACCTCGCTTACTTTACTAAAAACTATCCACACACTGAACGTGTGCATTTAACCACAGCAGGTTTTCTCACAAACAATACCCATTTGAGACTTCATCGTGATGAAGGCCAAAAGGTCTGTGCACAAAACGGTGATTCAAAGTGAACAGCATCCCTGCAGGCACTAATGTTGTGGCTGCTGAACTGTATAAAGACTGTATGGCTGCAGCTGTTAAAAATCCTCAAAAAGACTCCTTTGGCTACATTAATATGCTTATATTTCAAATATTAGCTCATGCTCACAAGGAAGTGATTTTCATAATTGGTGTTTATGATACGGCCGGGGTATTTCTTTGTGGAGTTTGCATGTTCTCCCCGTGTTTGCGTGGGTTCTCTCCGGGTACTCTGGCTTCCTCCCACCGTCCAAAGACATGCAGTTTGTGGGGATAGGTTAATTGGATAATCTAAATTGCCACTAGGTGTGAATGTGCGAGTGAATGTGAGTGCGAATGGTTGTCTGTCTCTGTGTGTTAGCCCTGCGACAGACTGGCGACCTGTCCAGGGTGTACCTCGCCTCTCGCTCTATGACAGCTGGGATAGGCTCCAGCGCCCCCCGCAACCCTGAAAAGGATAAGCGGAAGCGAATGGATGGATGGATGGATGGATGGATGGGTGTTTATAATACATTGGATCTAACAGAGGTTTTAAATTTCTGTCTTTAGTGTTCAATTTAAAGACAATAACTGATAAAATCTCAGTTTTTCATTGCTATAATTGGCATATCTTTGCAGGGCCACAAATTCAAGGCTGTTGACTAAAATTCCTTCCGACAATTCAGCCCCGGGAAATACAACTAATAAAACATACTGTCTAGCTTTGGTCAAGTGGGACATCCATCATTTAAGAGCCTGACAGCAGCCACTGGCTGCTACAATATTCTGATTAAACAGTAAACCAATAAAATGCTTCTGCCTCTGTTTGTATACAGAATGTAAGTTCAATAGCCCACTCTATCAAGTTTTATCTTATTCCTGCTCTTGATATTATTTATGATTTCATATTTGCTATTATTACTCCATCAGTCTGGAGAAAGGACATGAAAGATGAGAAAAAGGAATATGTGTGACGCGATGAAGTTTCCAGATACAATTTAAACCTGTGCAAATCAATATATGTTAGCTCATGTTGAACTTTGCAACGAGGTTCGTCTGTTAAACTAACAACTGCATAGGGTCCGTGCTGTCTTGTAGACAGTCAGCGGATTGCAGGCGGCTACTGAGCAAACCCCAAAGACATCAGAGAGTTGAGGTAATGAAATTAGAGGGCAGTTTTGAGCAGCTTTCCTTGTCTGTGAACACAAAAACTATGAGGAGCTGGTGAATAAGAGCAACAACAAGTAGCTACATGTGGCAACAGTACTTTTAGACCGAGCACAGCTGGTGACAACAATATTATCATGAAAAGTATTGTGAATTACAAAGTTTTGTATTAGTTTTTTTTAGTTAATTAATGTTAATTGGTTCATATATTTTGTTACATGCTTTTGGACCAGAGCAACTTTTCCACAGTTCTAGAATCTAGAACGATGGAAAAGTTGCTCTGGTCGCACCTGTGCGACCAACTGTTCGGGTAACAAAAAAAGTCTACCGTTGTTTACAGCGCTGTCTTTTTCTTTTTTCACTTAAATGACCTCGGACAAGAAAGCCTAATTTCTGCTGTTCAATACTGAAGAAATTTAAACTTCTTAAAATTATGCAAAATTGCAGAATATT